AAAAAAGGGGCCTAACGGTTAGTTTCAACTTTTTGGTTTTTTTTTACAAAAATACCCCCCAACAGCTATAAATAGCCATATTAGGGGGTATTTGTGTATTTTGCTTATGGGGGTTGACAAAATTACATAAATGCCCCCCAACAGCTATATAACAACTAGTTTAGAGGGCATTTTGGGAAAAATTATAAGTAACGTTACAATGACCAAAATACCCCTCCCAACAACTAAATAACAAGTAGTTTTTGGGTATTTTGGGCAATTGAATTATGTTCAATTCCTATAAATAGCCCATTAGCCCTATCCAGCTATCCTCCACCATTTTCATCACACCAATTTAACAATCAGTGAATCAACATTCAACAATTTTCCTATTAAGTTATTACTTATTCTCTTAATCCCTTCAGCCTTTCCTCTCAGAGTCTCTTTCAATCTCTCATACATTCTCTACAATCCGAGTGAACTCTAATAGTCTCATAGTCCGATTGATTGATTGTTTGATTCTCTAAGTTAGTAGTTTGGGAGGCTTGGAGCTTTGGACGTTGTCACGTTGAAATCAAATTGGGAATATGGGATTCTAAACCGGCAATCTGGGATTCCGGGGTAAGTCCAATTAAATTAATTTTATTTTTTTAGGTTTTGAAAAAAAAATGGCCAGTTTTTCCCAAAACCCTAAGTTTAGTAGCCCGATTTGGAGAATATTTAAAATAGAGGATGTTGAGGGGAAGAGGAAAAGAGCAGTTTGCCATAAATGTAGAAAAGACTTTAGTTATTGTAGCAATGGTGGTACTGGCCATTTGACTAGACATTTTCTTACACATGAGAAGGAAGAAGAAATAACCCACAACTTAAATGAATTTTTGAAATAATATTAGTGAAAAATAAATTTTAAAAATATTGGGAGAAGTCAGAGTCTCGGAGAACATTTCTCACCGCCAATCCCACCATGGCACATGATCCGTGACCTACTAACCCTCCGGTGTCTACAAGCTATAGTTCCATTGGAGTATTGTTTAGTTGTTTTAGTGCAAGACCTACAGGTACCACACTATGGCACTACCACTATAATAGTCTACCAGGGTTGGCTAGATACAATCATGAATCATGATGCAGAATATAGATTACAACTTTACAATTACAAGACAAAGGAAGGGCATGATACTACGGACTACTACAATACTATATACACCGGATATTTGGTTTTTCACCTGAAGCAGATGATGAAAGTGTGTGAATGCTTTCATCATAATGTATATGTAAGTTTTGTTTAAATTGTAAATTTTAACAAATAACCCACAATTTTTTATTTTGTCAAATTATTATAAATTTTGTTTTAATTTTATTTAGTTTATTTGCTATTAATGTAATTTTGTATTTTCAATTTGTAACTATATAGTCTATAGTCTATAATTCTATATTGCATTTTTTATATTTTATTAATTTATTCCATTTTCATATTTCATTCATCCAAGTATGAAGTTTATGAAGTATCCAACCATTGTATATTTCATAATTTCAATATTTGTGTATTTGTATGCTTTGTAATTTGTATCATTATTCATTCAAATTTAAATGAAATAAAATTCTTAAATTCTTATATGAATTGTTTTATACTTTTATTTATTTATTCTTTGGGTTATTTGGTAATCATAAATTTGTTATTAATTTATTATTCGTTTCTTGTCCTGATTCCTGAAGCATGAAATAAGAAGTATGGTGTAGTTGTAAACATTCATTGGGCCGTTAGAAAGGATGATGGCCACAGGACATAATCTTCTTAGCCTTTTTTTCTACCTTTAACAATGTTCCATTGATGGTTTGTCTCTCTTCTGTGATTGACAGCTCCTATGAACATATAGCAAAGGTTACAGGTCACGCCCAAGTAGAGGTGTCAATCAGGCCTTACTGCCCATGGCCCGATATGAACTCACATGAGTTCGGGCGGTGGGCAATACCAGGCCAACCTCCTAAAGTATCCAAAGGGAGGAAAACACAGCTCAACTCAGCCTGTGGGTTGACACGGCATGGCCGATTTACACCTCTGCACCCAAGGTTCAAGATATGATACGCCCCCACACGGTGGAACCGTGGAAGGGGTGTTTCAGTAGTTCAGTACTTTGAATCACCATTTTCTTTTTTTAGTTTGTTTACAAAAATAGGGCAGAGAGCCAGAGGGGTAGGTCTTGCGCCTGCCTACGTGACAAAATTTTGAACTTTTTTTTTTGACAAGTGACAATTTTGAACCTTGGTTACACCACAAGGACATTTTGACATATGTAGTTTCCTTGTTAGTAGGGAAAACGATTGTTGATTCTAGCCATTTTTGTTTCTTGACCTTTGTCACAAGCTTTCTTATTGCTTCTCAGCCATTTTTATAAGCTTGGCTGTCGACCTTTGTCACAAGCTTTCTTATCATTATCAATCCTAGGAATTCATTTGACTGGACAAAGTTCAGATTATTGTTGAATTCATGAACTTCAAGCTACGCTATGAAGATGCCTTGCTGATTAATAACTTTGCCTTTCACGATCACAGCAGATTGCAGTCACAGGAAACAAAAGTAGTTCTTTTTTACTGTTTTCAAACCCTCTGCCATGTGCCTTACAATGTGAATTCAAGAACATGATGTACCTAGCGATGTTTATTACTAGCAGATCCGGACCCTAAATGTTCATCATCTATTATACTGCAATACCGTTTATACATGTGCATAAAAAAATATAACCATGGCAGAGAAATGAAAGAGTTCTAAACCGGGTAGTGAGTAGTCCTGCTCTCTTGGGTTCCAACACAGTAAGTCCCTCGCCAACTTAAGTGGGACTTCTACGCTTATGTCAGTAGAAGTTGCCAGCTAGCTTGAGGTTAAGTCTAGCTGGTTATAGCAGAGACCTGGGATCAAAGAGTTCGGATCTGCTGACCACAACACATTCCCGGCCACATTCACCCAGCCACACATTGAGAACATCAGTTTTACTTTACATAGCTAATATTCCCAATGTGCGGTTGAGTGAACGTGGCCAGCAATGTGTCAAGGTCAGTAGATCTGGCCTTGGATCAAATCATACCTTCACTAGGGTTGGGGGTTTTAGGGAGGGCTAGCCTCTTTGACTAGCCATTCTCCCCAAAAAAGAAAACAGAATAACTTGTATGTATAAAAAAAAAGAATACTAACCATTCCATATTTCCATCGTAGCCCTGGTTGGTTCTTTGATACAAATTATTAATTCATAAAGATGCAGTCCTGCTGATTACATGCCTCGCTCATACAGCCTCCAGAATAATAATGTCAATGCAATCATGGCGCACCGTTCCCAGTGTGACCTGCATCAAAGTCTGCAGAGGATAGACTAAACATATCCACAACTACCTACAAGCCTTCTAGGATAAATGGCTGGAATTGATCAACTGGAGGAGACTCGAGCTGTTGGCTTGGTTCGATTTGGTCAAGGAGAGGGGGTTCCAGCTGCTGGTATGGCTCAGGTTGTTCAGATGGAGGAGACTCAATCTTCTGATGCTGTTTCAGTTGATCAGGAGGAGGCGGCTCAAGCTTCTGGTATTTGGGTTTGTTCCTCTCAAGGAGAAGGTAAGTTGTGCAATACCAAAACAAGAGTATCCTACCCTGCGCCACCAGTGTTTCCCTAATATGACTCTCTCCAAAGGAGAGCCTCTCAAGCGCCTGCCAAACCCAAACACCAAACAAAAGAACAATGACTATATCAGGCAAAAAACCAAGAACAAAAAGAATATCAAATAATGAGCCCCATTACTGTTTTTCCATATTCTAATCTGATTTAGCAATAACAACGT